TCCCCAAAATCATTAGCCATGGACTCTCTCCTGAGCTTCAAAACCCACATACTTAGTTACTGCTACACAGAGACATTGCTCACTCAAATACTGCTCGTAATATACTGAACCCAGAAGCATCTTACATGTTTCCCAAAGCCTCAAACCTGCTGATACAATATAAACTCAATACTTAACATTTTTTACTCCACCCCCCCCCCCCGCAAAAAAAGAAAACCACTCTCTTGGCCCTTCTCTTTGTCTGGATTATCTACAGCTCCAGTTACCTCTTCTCCTAAAGCCTCACCTCTAGGGAGCATAAGCAATAAGGAAGCTAACTCATGCTGAGTGGCGTAGGCTGGGAGGCTATATCCAGAGAGAGGCAAGATCCACAAACAAGTGCGTAGCCACATGGCAGCAGACCACAAACCCTGGGGCACAAACTGGCATGCCAGGGCAGCTGGATCTGCCTATACAGCTTGGTCTCTTGGGCTCTAACTCTCCTCCACAGATTCCCAAGGCTCACTGAAAATTGAATCAAGTCACTTCCCTCAAGAAATGTTCAAAGGAATCCCTGCCTCTTAGAACAAGACCTCAACTCCCAAGCAAGGTTTTCTAAACCAAACCACCAAATCCCCACACACATCCCAGGTGACGCCCCTTACACCCCCTTCACCGACTCCTCCACATCTCTCCGTCTATGAAATCATGTCCCCCTCCCGTGGTGACAAGCTGAAGGGCCCTGAGGTAGCAGTCTGATTCCTCCATGTGGCAGCTTTCTTTGGCTGGGTTTGGTGGTACTGTGGAATCAAGCACAGAGCCCCCCACTGGGCTACACAGTTATACCTTTTTTTTAAATCCTTACATGTCCAATGAGTCAGCCTTCTAACTTCCAAATGTGGCTTAGAGTTGACAAGACTTAGAACCAAATGATTTTGACAAGCGTGCAACATCGCAAAGAAGTGATTTGTTAACCCATTCAGAATGATTATTGACTATCTGAACAACTCAACTATCCGAACACCCACTCCTCTGGCAGGGAGCACACTCTAAAGGACGAACAAAGAGCTTGATGCGACCTATGTACTGTCATCACTCTCTTCACTACCAACCCAGAAATCCTGGGTTAGTTTGAGACCAGTCTGAACAACTGTCCCATTCTGGCTGGCCCTTACCAAGTACCCCCCACCCCCATAAACCAAGGCAACACACACCTTATGAAACTATTCTTCCAGGCTGAAGAAAATGGCTCAGTAGCTAACAGCACTCAGAGGTTAAGAGCACTGGCTGATCTTCCAGAGGTCCTGAGTTCAATTCCCAGCAACCACATGATGGCTCACAATTATCTGTAATGACATCTGGTGCCCTCTTCTGGCCTGCATGGATACATGCAGACAGAAAACTGTATACATAATAAATAAATCTCTAAAAAAGATACCAATGTTCTAGATGATGGAATTACACTCCAGTAAACCCATCATCTATACCTAATCTATCCAACACCATAACCAGGCCCAAGGAAGCACATTCACAACACTGTGACAGCTGCGCAAAAGCATCCACAATTTACTGAACATTGGACTAAATGTGAAAAACCAGTCATCTTTACTGTTCTAAGACTATCAAGTCAAACTCTGAAGTCAGGGACCATCTGTCTAATGAATTGCTGGAGCTTTTCTTAGATTTGATAATTCTAATTGTTTTTGTTATTTAGTCTGTTTGGGTTTAGGGGTTGAGATAGTTTCATGTTATCCAGGCTAGCCTCAAACTCACGATGCAGCCAAGAGTGACTAACTTCTGGTCTTCCAGTCTCTACCATCTGAGTGTTGGGATTACAAGTGTCCATCAGCATGCCTTGTTGTGATGTGTTGTGCAACACCATGTGGCACTGGGGGTTGAATCCAGTGTTTCATGCATGCTAGACAAGTACTCTACAACTGAGTACATTTCCAGCCCATAGTTGTGTTTGTTTTGGGGGATGTCGGTGTTTTTAAGAGTTTTTGCCTGCATATGTTTGTGTACCATTTGTAAGGCCAGTGTCCATGGAGACTAGAAGAATGTGTAAAAGTCCCTGGAACTAAAGTTACAGGAAGATGTGGGCTGCCATATGGGTACTAGAAACTGAACCTGGGTCCTCTGGAAAAGCAGTCACAGCCCTTAACTGTTGAGCCACCTCTCCAACGCCTAACCCCCAGTATTATATTCTTCTATTTTTCTTTTTGGTTTTTCAAGACAGGGTTTTTCTGTGTAGCCCTAGACATTCTGGAACTTGCTCTGTAGACCAGGCTAGCCTCAAACTCAAAGAGAGCCTGCCTAGTGTTAGGATTAAAAGCATGTGCCACCACTCCCTGATCAGTATTATGTTCTTAATCTCAGGTAACACTGAAAATCTAGGGAAGAAAGGCCACAATGTCTACTTACTCTCCAAGTTCAACAAAGTAATACAGACACATATGATTATTTAAGTATATACAGGCCTATATCTATAGATACAGGTCTATATAGAGGTAGGAAAAAAACTAATATGATTAAAAATACTGACAACCGGTGAATCCAAGTAGAGGTTATATATTCTCACAATTTCTCTGGGGGCTTGAAATTTTTCAAAAAATCAGTTCAACTTGCACTACAACTCAAAAGCAGACCACAGTCCCCTACAGTACTACCCACAAGTGACTCAGCTCACATGACAGAAAGCAGAGGGCTGTGTGTGGGACATACACAACCTCAGCCCTTAGGACAAGGGAAGCTGATACAAGATTATGAATTCAGGCCCAGCAAGCTCCTGCAGAAAACAACAAAGGACAAGACTTGAAAACTCCAACACTAACTTACTGACGGGATAGTTGGCTACCTCTTGAAGCCAGTGGTTCTTCCTCAGGTCAATGAAGACAGCGGTCAGCTACAGAGGACAACAATGGGGACATCTGGAGAGGATGCAACAAACCCCCACACTCACTCAGGCTCTAAGCAGGAAACAGTGTGGCAAGAGCCAAGAGCAACATAAATATCTACAGACATAACTTTATTGGATACAAAGTGTTAGGGTGCAGAAGGGGTTAAGAGTCAGGCTCTGGGTCAGGTGGTGGCTTCTCATCATCAGGGGGACAATCGATGAAGTCAGCCAGCATGGCAGCTGTGTCGTCTTGCTCCTTTTAGGGACAAAGACACAAAATTCAGTCACACACAGGGGAGAGTAGGTCAGGCTGGAGCAAGCCTCTTCCCTTACATGAGAACTGCAGTCTCTCCCCAGTCAGCCCCAGTGCCCCACCCTGTGCCCTCCCTGGCTGACCCTCTCACCTTTTCCTGTGGAGATGCAGCTTCTGCTTCTGTCTCCATCTCTGTTTCTGCAGGTGTCTCAGGTGGTGGTGGCACCTTGTCACCTCCACCCTCAGTCCCCTCTTCCAGAAGGTTAGGGGGAGCAGAGGACTCTTCTTCAACAAGCTCCTGAGGAGGCCCTGCTGGAGGACTTCCCCCTTCCTGCACCACCTCCTCCTGGGGGGGGAGCACCTCTGGGGCCAGCGGGGGAGCTGTCTCAGGCCCTGGCACCTCCTCTGCCCCTGGTTCTTCCACTTCCAGTAAGAGCCCAGGTTCAGGTTCTGCCTCGGGCTGTATTTTGGGGGAGTCTGTAGGTGGCAGAGCAGGAGGCAGCGTGGGGGGTGGAGGTCCACCTTCTTCTACCTCTCCTCCTGCTGAACCAAACTCCACATCTTCTACCTCTTCCAACTCTTCTTCCTCTTCCTCTTCCTCCTCCTCCTCTTCTAATTCACCTTCCTCCTCCTCCTCAAATTCCTCCTCAAATTCTTCCTCCTCCTCTTCCTCTTCAAAATACTCTTCTTCATCTTCCTCCTCTTCCTCAAAGTCTTCTTCCTCCTCATCTTCATCTTCTTCCTCCTCCTCTTCCTCCTCTTCTTCCTCTTCATCACTACTTCTTATT